GCCCCTGAGCCCCACACTGGCATTTATTTGCCCCTTCCCTAAAGCTAGTCTCCTGGGAAATCTTGGTACATGTCCCCAGCTTGGAGGAGAGGGAGGGTAGAGAAACGACATGGTCAGTCATTCGTGGGTTGTCCACAGAGGCTGCAGAAGGCAGGGAAACCCTGCCATCCTTGGGGGGGGGGGAGCTGCCTTTTGCTAGCAACTCCTTTGCCTTCCAGGAAGCGCCTCCTCTGCTACCTCAGGACCTTTGCACATGTTCTTCTATTGAATAGACTGTTCTCCCCTCGCCCTTTCCCCATGGCCAAGCTTTATTGCCCTTCCAGAGATCTCTTGTTTATTTTCTGTCTGTTTATGCGTTGTGCTTAGATAATAATTGAATGGCCTTTGTGTGCGCCTGACTACCCTGTGGTGCGGTTTCCATCAAAGCAGAGCCGCCCCCTAGTTGCCAACATTTTTGTCAGCAAGGCTTTCTATCAACTGGGTCCTACAGGCCCATGAGATGACTTACAGAAATTTTAGTTCTACATGTTTGGATTTGGAGCCTGAGAGGCTCTCCCTTCATACACTTCCCCAGGCCTGTCTCTGGTGCTTCTGAGAGCCGAGACTGGCCGCTCACAGGCTGAACTCCATCCGTAGACACAGCCAATGGCTCAGTCTCCTTTGATCCTTGGGATCTTCAGGGTCCCCCTCAGTGACCTCCCTGCCCTGCCCTCACCTGGTCTCTCCTGGGCCACCTTTTGAGCTCTCTTTCTTTGGAACAAACCAAAGACCCACAAGCCCATCCGTGTGTTCACCTGTAATTTTACAGTACAGGGTTTGATCGGTCCTGAATATATATTTAGTGACAGGCTTGGCTAATCTTTCAATCTAATTATACTCATTAACACTTAAATGTATAATCACTGTGATATCTGGCCATGGCTGTCTAAATATTTTATAGAGATCTTAAGTACAGTAGACTTCCAGGATGGCCATGAAACTCCCATCCTCCTAATTTAAAAGATGGCGAGGGTGGTTCCAGCCCCCATCCTGCACCCCCGCTTTGGTTGGTGATATCTGGTTCCTAGGATAGCTATTTCGAAGGGGTGGGGTTAGAGAGAGACTATGACAACCTGTCCTCTCTCTTCATGGCGGAGTTACCTGTCACAGTAAGGGGCACTGAATGGAAGAGTCTCACAGACGAGATCACAGAGATGCTGTTGTAGAGATGACCTGTGCTGGCGAGACGCTCAGCATGCAGTGGCACTGGTCATCAAGCCCGACGGCCGAACTCAGTCCTCAGGACCCACACGGTGGAAGGAGAGCGCCAACTCTTGCCAGCTGTCCGCTAACCACACACATTCTATGCCATATGCAAACTCACAATATAAATAAACGTTACAGATAATTTTTTTAAGTCCAAATCGAGAAGCAGCCAGAAGAAACAACTCCCAGTTGACAGTGATGGGCAGAATGTGTTTTGTGATACCAGAAAGCTGGTCAGGAATAGGGCTCTGACCCTCAATGCCAGGACAAGGCCTATTGTTACACCTGCCCCCTTTGGTAACAGGTAGAACCCCTGGGAGCTCTCTCTACATGCCCATGTGCCTGGGTGGCAGGGAGCAGGGCTTTCTCGGGACACTGCCTCCCCTATTTCTTGAGAAAGGTCTCTCATTGGCCTGGAACTCAGAGATTTCGCTGGCCACTGAGCACAGGAGATTCTCCTATCTTCACTGGGATTAGAGACAGACCCTACCACACCTGGTTCTTCAGATGTGGGTTCTGGGGATTCAAACTCAGGTCCTTGTGCTTACATACAATGAATCACTTGACTGACTGAGCCATCATCTCCTCAGCTCCTCCAGCTTTTGAGCAGAAGTGCAGGCAGGGATGGGGGACCGTCAGACCATTCCTGCATGGGAATAGGGGCGTGTGTGTGTGTGTGTGTGTGTGTGTGTGTGTGTGTGTGTGTGTACGTCCATATGATCATCCCTGTGAGACGATAATGTGGTAACTTGCTCTGGGTCTCACTAGCGGATGGCAGGAGCTGGGCTTTGAACCCAGGCCATCTGTCCTGGGGTCTGCTCCTGTTTCACAACTACGCCTGTCCTTCTGTACTTGGAGATTGGCTGTCACCTGCATGGAACTTTGTAGAGCCTTGCTGAGTCTCCCATGGACAACAGCAGTCATGAGGGCAGTCCCCAAATCACTGGGTGCCCAGGGCCTCTTCTGAGGGCCAAAGCCCAGAGAAGGTGCTGGACTGAATTCCTGAGGCCACACCGCATGTTGTTTTGCAACCTGATGCCCTGGTCATCTCTCTCAGGACCGAGTAGGAGCCATTGTCTTGGTTGCTGATGGCCTCACACACAAAGGTCGCCCTTTAAGGATACTGCTCTCTGGAGGGGAGGGGAGAGGAGTTGGTGGCCAGTGTGGAAATCTCCTTTTCAAGTCTAGGGATTGTTGGTGCTCCCCCTTCCCCACCCCTCCTGCTATTTTTAGGAGGGCTTTCCTGGACACCCCTCCAAAGTCTGGAAAACAAACACCTCCCATCATGCCCTGCCCCCCACTTCCCTCCTGCTGATGACCTCTGGGGGAGGGGAGGAAGCACCACCCGCCAGGGCTTCCTGGTGTGAGGAGGGTGAGCAGCCTGCAGGGACTCTGCCTATAGTTTGCATGCCCATAATCTCTTCCTTGGCTGGCCCGTTGGCCTAACCTTCCCCTGCTAAGCTTCCCGTTTAAGATTCTGACCCCCCCCCCCCACTCACGCCCTCGGCTCCAAGACTGCCCTGGTCGGTCGTGAGGTCTGGCAGCCTCTAATCAAGCCTCTCCTTCCCAGACCACTCCCGACAGCTTTCATCCTTAGCCTGGAGTGGTTAGGCACAGCCAGGCCGAGACACCAGCACCTGCAGCCTGGAGCTCTGCTCTGCCCCAAAGCTCCGCCTAGTAAAGGAAGCTTCCCCATTTGACACATGGAGCATACGGGATTTATCCAGGGTCACACAGGAGGTGCCTGCAGAGCCAGACCGCTCAGGTTCACATAAATCTTGAATTGACCTTGTGCTGTAAGGGACATTTAAGACCTTAAACATAGTTAAGAATTGGGAGATTAGAATTTCCACAAAAAGTCAGGGTATATGGAGTCACAATACGTAGTGCAGTTAGGGTGACCCCACTGTCTGGAATCTAGGAACAGGGTTCTGGGGCCCCCACTCTTTCCTGATGATGGGTCTTGGCAGGGCCTGGAAGGTAGTCTTCTGTCCCATCAGGGTATGGTGGCTTTGAGTGCCTGGGCAGAGAACCGAGGAGAAGCAGCCTGAGATATGTAGCCTGAGATAGGTAGCCTGAGTCAGGATTCCCCATGACTCAGAAAGGACCAAGCGTGGAGAAGTCAGAGAGGGTCCCTTAGCAACTGAGGGGCTAGAGATAGAGTGAGTAGCCCTTAAGAGCATTTTGCAACAAAAGGAAAAAGAAAAATAAAATTTGCTAGAAGGGAAAGGGTTGAGACAAGACCTAGCCATCCGGGAGGCCAGAGACCGGACAGCATTGGTATGATGCTGGAAACATCCTGAACAGAGGGCTTGCCAAGTTCAGGGACTCAGATGTCCAGGGAGTCTTGGGAAAAGGTGGTGGTCTCAGTTTCCATCAGTAGGGGCCAGGCTGGTGGGGGTGGGTGCAGCTGAGGAGAAGCATGTCTCCTCCTGTGTTCAGCTGAGTTTCTGCTGAATTCCCATCATCCAGAGCCTTACAAGCAGAGGAGGTCCCAAGGTCAGACACCGATCAGACCTCCCACCTAACAGGACAGAGAAGCCTGGCATCTGGGGAGGCCCCTGACTCTGGGCTTGTCTTCTCCCCAGATGTTCTAGGCAGACAGGATGGCAAGCGTCCTTCACTCACTCAGTCCTCTTGCCTTCCTGGATGTTGGAGTTTCTTAAGGCCAAGCTCCCTGGTAACAGGCTGCATCATGTTGGAGAGCTGGCCTGGCTTTGTCCTCAGCTGCCGTGCAGCCAAGCTGGCTGCTGAGAAGACAGTCAGCTGGGTTCATTGGGAGGCTCAAAGCTGGAATGTTGAATGCTGACCAACCCTGGAGTCCCCACTGCGCGGGGTTCCCTGTGGCTCTCTGTGTGCAGCGGCAGCATGGCCTCAGATGCCCCCCTCTTCAGCTGGAATTACAGGCAGTTATGAGCTGCCTGGTGGGTACAGAGAAATGAACTCTCTGAGAGCAGCAAGTGATCTTAACCACTGAGCCATCTCTCTAGCCCCAACAGTTGTCTTTGTATTGTTGAGTTATGAGAATTTATTTTTAAACATTTTTATTGAATTAAATTGAGAGAGAGAGAGAGAGAGAGAGAGAGAGAGAGAGAGAGAGAGGGAGAGGGAGAGGGAGAGAGAGAGAGCGCTCGCGTGCACGCGCATGTGCACGAATGTTCATTCACCAGGTTCACGTCACAGGACTGGTGTGGAGGTCAGCAGACAGCTGATAGGAGTAGACTTTTCTTTCATGGGGCTCTAGATGTCTCTTATTGGATAAGAAACTTGCGAGTATTTTCTCCCTTCTGCGGGCTGTCTCCTCTTGTTCTCTATGTCTCCCGGTGAAGCAGAGGTTTTAATTTGACGGAATCCAGTTTATCTCCTGTGCGGCCCGTATCGTTTGTATCTTATCTTTCATGGCATTGAGCCCTGCGTGTTAGTAGTCAAGTAGGGCTTATGAGAAAGTCTTGAATGGGAATCATTCTGTGGGCTCAGTGGGGTGACCCTGGGGCTCATTTCAGTGACAGAGTCAGCTCAGGAGGTCCCCGTGGATGAGACCTCTGAGACTAGCCTTGCAGCCCAGCAGGGCTTCCATTGTAGATAGCCAACTCAGAGAGGGCGAGCGTTCACACAACAAGCCTGGGACGCTGTAATGGTGTGAGAATCCAAGAGAGACACTGTATTAGGTGAACCCCATTTCTCACCTGGACAAAAGACACCCAGAGGAGCCGCCAGGGTATCGGGAGCTAATTAATCCTCTGTCCTGTCCGCAGCCATGAAAGCTGACCGGAAGCGCTTAAAGGGCGAGAAGACCGACCTGGTGAGCCAGATGCAGCAGCTTTACGCCACGCTGGAGAGCCGCGAGGAGCAGCTGCGAGACTTTATCCGCAACTATGAGCAGCACCGTAAGGTCAGTGTCTGGACCCCGCCCTCCCCTCTCACCCCTGTCCCTCTCCTGTCCCTTTTCCTGCCCTCCCCTCTCAGACATACACAACCTCATCTCAGCCCTTAGCCAAGCATGGTCTCTGCCTTGAATCCCAGAGCACCCTTGGCTGGCTCTGGTGTCTTCATCTAATCTGAACAAAACAAGAAACCCAGCCCAGCTCTGGCTTGGGCCCCGTGTCCCTAGGTGGACAGCGTGGATTCCGGAATCTAGCTGCTTCAGATCCCTCTTCCTCTGGGCATACCCTTGAACCTCCCACTCACCCCAGAGCCTCAGTTTCCCCTTCTGTGGAAGGTGCAGAGCTGTTATGAGGACCAAGATACTGAGCACCCAGCAAAAGGAGCCATGCATCTCATTAATAATCATATAATGGAAGTGGGTGGAGTTAGCCGGGGCAGTGGGAGACAGCAGGCAGGTTTGTCTGTAAAGAGGGCTCTGGAGGGCTTCACGGAGGAGGTGTCACAAGACTTGGGCTCTGTGCTACTTACTTTTTTCATGATAAAACGCCTGACAAAAGCGATTTCATGGTGAAGGGGTTTGTTTTGGATCAGAGTTGGAATACACAGGCTGTTGTGGCGGAAAAGATGTGAGGTGGCGGGGCTGGAGAGATGGCTCAGTGGTTAAGAGCACTGACTACACTTCCAGAGGTCCTGAGTTCAAATCCCAGCAACCACATGGTGGCTCACAACCATCTGTAATGAGATCTGATGCCCTCTTCTGGAGTGTCTGAGGACAGCTACAAGTGTACTCATATATAATAAATAAATAAATCTTTAAAAAAAAAAAAAAAGATGTGAGGTGGCCAGCCATGTCCGTCACATCTGCAGTCCGGAAGCAGAGAGAGATGGTTGTTTCACTCATAGACTTCTTATTCAGTTTGGACCTCTAGCACATAGAATGTCGCCACCAGGTGGGACTTTCCACTTCAGTGAACCCCATCCAGAAACTCCCTCACAGAGCCACCTAGAGACCCATTTCCTGTTGAGTTGACAGTTGAGATTCACCACCCCGGGCTCTGTGGGAGAGGAGGAGTTTCTAATTACATGAGGGATTTGGTCATAGAGCGTGCAGGGTATAACTCCCGCCCCAGTCAGAGGCCTTCGATCACGAGCCACTATGGAAGTGTTTTCGCCCACTGTTGTGCAGGCCCAGAAAAACTGGGCTGACAAGATGGCTCAGCGAGTAAAGGCACTTGCTGCTAAACCTAATGACCTGAGTTCAATTCCTGGGAGTCACATGATGGGAGGGGAGAAATGGCTTCTGTGAGTTGACCTCTGTCCTCCATATGCTGTGTAGACAGGGCTGCCATTGAGCTGTGTACATGGACCTGAAAGTAGAAACGTTCATTCATGTGCATGTTCCCTGTGTCACTGGGTCTACAATGCCTGACAGTTTGAGGGAAGAAGGATTTATTTGGGCTTATGGGGAGTTAATGGCAGTGTGAGCGTGCGGCAGAGGTGCTCACGTGACCAACCAGGACGCAGAGCACAAAGGCAGGAGGAAAATGTCATGGAAGCAGAGTGCAATGGCTGGAGCAACAGCAGCAGTAAAAGCCTCAGAGGCTTCCCTCTAGGACCTTACCTACCTCTGCCAGCCAGGCCCCACTTCCTGAAGGCTTCACACTTCCCAAAGGGTGCCACCAGCCAGGGAACAAGCACACAAAATGTGAGCCTGTGAGAGACATTCCTGACTCAAACCTAACAGTTCAGCTTGCAGCTTTGGGGACAGGAAGGCCGAGTGACTCCTCAGTAGCCATGGAGGGTAATGGGCCCAGTCAAGGAGGCCACCTCTAAGCTGCAGTTAGAAGCCACTTAGCCGAGGCTAGATTGAAGTTGACATGATCCTCACATGCTCACTGCAGGTGACTCTCGATGACACATCCCTGGCATACAGAACTCTTCCTCCCTGAGGTCAAATGGCTCTAAGCAGCAGTACAGGTGTCACCTGCCTACTCTGTGTGTGTTGTCCCTGACCCCCGCTCCCATTGCTGTCTGTATGCATTCAGGTTAGGCAAGCCAGGGGTGTAGCATCTGAATGGCCTTGTGTCACCGGGCAGCCCACAAGAGTCTGGTTGCTGATCGAGACCAATTATTTATTTTTGTGGTGTTCAGAATGAATTTGGGACATCCTTTATGTGACCCAGGCAGGTGTTCTACCACAGAACTGGCCCCTCAGCCTCTCCCTGGGAGATTATAGGTAGATATTTTACCACATATTTAGAGATACTGTGCAGAAACTGAAATCTCAGCCCTGGTTTTATCCAACCTCTCAAGATCTTGCATCTGGTTACCAAAACATAATTTGCATTTTATGTATGAACGAAATGAACAATAGCAATAGAACTCTCTGGTTCCCCAGTCACTGAGCTACAGGCTCGCAATCTGCTGCGGCCCACTGGCTTCTTCTGGAACTTCTCCGGGTCTCAGCTGGAGCAGGTGGGGACAGCAGGGACACAAAGCTGCTGGCAAAGATAGGACTTGGCCTGTCCAGAACATTCTCAGAGTTGCGACATCCCAGAAAACCGTGCCAAAGGCACACACCCTGTCCCCGGAGTGCAGCTGGGGACTGTCTACAAACCCAGCTGGAGATGTCCTCATAGCCGGCCAGGCAGCCAGCTCTGAGCTGGATACAGGATAATCCTGGTACTGGGTCTAAGGTCCTCTGTTGCCACCATCCCACCACACCCTGTCTCCTGCGCCTCTCCCCATCTGGGGCCTCTGGCCTGGCCTACAAGGCCTTAATGATCTAGCCTTGTTTATTAACAGTCTAGCTTTGTCCCAACCTTGTGAGTTTCAGGTACGTAGTCCCTAGGCCGTATCAAGTTCCGATCTCCAGGGAAGGAATCCCATAGTTCTCTTTGATTCCTCCATGATCAGCAGTAGGCTGAGGGCGAGTCTCCTCAGGGCCTCAGTTTACCCTTCTGTAAAACAGGAATAATTGGAGACTCTACCTCATAGGTGGGTATGACATTCAAAAACAGTTGTGTGTGCAGAGCCTGCAGCACTGCCCAGGACACTTAGTGACTGCCACTGCTGAGCCTGTTGGCCTCTGCCTGGGAGCAATTTCATGGGCACACAAGTGAAATACCCGCAGACCTTTTTCACCTAGTGTAGGGCCCAAGTCTGCTCACAACCAGCAGAACAGGCAAAAAAAACCTCAGAGACAAAAAGGATCCCAAGGGTCTTAGTGAGTCTTCTTCTAACTCAAGATCACCAGCCAGCTCCCAGGGGTGCCCAGCTCCATTCCAGATCTGTTTCTTCAGCATAGCCTCTGGAATCACAGCATTATCTGGCTGTGTCTGCATCACATTGGTAGGGTGAGTGTCAGGTGTAAGGACTGGCTGGAGAGAATGCTAGACGGTCACCCTAAGCTGGTGTTCAGGGAAGGCTTCTTGGAAGAGGAGGTATAAGCAGGGATCCTAGGGAATGAGAAGCTTCCTGGCAGAGCCTCAGTCCGCAGGGCTATCTCAAAATGCATACAGTACAGATGGGGAAACTGAGGCTGTGCTGACCTGTAGGTATTTGCAGAGCCAGGACTCTGTCCAGAAGTTTAGCCAGTGTTGTACACACCGAAAGTTACATCCATGCAGAAAAGCTGGTACCCCTTGGCCTCCTGGCCTTGGTGGTGGAGACCTTGGATCTTGTTTAGACATGGTGATTTGGTGGGATGGGCTGAGTACTCCCAAAGACCATCCTCTTGAGAAAACCTCAGTTTCAATACCACCCCTGTTCAGAGGTCAGGTTCAGCCACAGTTCCTTCTGGCGCCTGCCCTACACCAGACTGGCACCACCCCTGGTAGCCGTGGTTCATTCAGGAAACTGAGTGGGGCCTGGGCAGGTAGGAGCTTTCTTCCTCATGAGACTGAGTGTCCTGTCAGCTATGGCCTTGTAGGGTGACAGCAGGGACCTGTGATAGCCCAATCACCACCGCTTCAGGTGCCTTCCTGTACCTATTTTGCTCTGACACAGTTCCTCAAGCAAGAACTGGCAGTGTGGAGTTGGCAGAGTGATTGCCTAGCAGGTGCGAGGCCCTGGGTTCCGTCCCCAGCGCTATACCGCAGAAACTGGGCCAGCACTTGGGAATTGGAGGCTGGAGAATCAGAAGTTTAAGATTGTCCTCAGCTACATAGAGAGTTGGGGGCAAGCCTGGGCTCCATAGGGACCCTGACTCAAAACTCACAACAAAACACCTCAAACCAACCAAATTAATTAATTAATTAATTAAATGACAAACTGTCCTTCACCCCAACTTTTATCAGATCCGACATTGTCTTCCCCACATGAGGTTGTTCTATCTTTGAAAAGAGTCATTTTTTCACTCTGCCCCCATTTCTGTGTAGAGGCACACCTTACCCATGGTCACTCCCATCGGGAAAACACTCTCTGGGGGCATCAGAGGTACTCACCCCATAGCCTTCCCACCTCACACCAGGGCTTTCCGCCATGTGTTGGGGGTTCCCCACTCCCCTGCCCACCCAGATGAGCCCTCCACCCCTGTGCCGTCTTGCAACCCATGCCCCCTCTCTGATCCCCACCACAGGAGAGTGAGGATGCTGTCAAAGCGCTGGCCAAGGAGAAGGATCTGCTGGAGCGAGAGAAATGGGAGCTTCGAAGGCAGGCCAAGGAGGCCACGGACCATGCCTCGGCCCTGCGCTCCCAGCTGGACCTCAAGGACAACCGCATGAAGGAGCTGGAGGCCGAGCTAGCCATGGTGAGCGTGCCCTGGCCACTGAGGAGCAGCCTGGACCACCCAGAGCCCCTGAGGGAGAAAGGGGTAGTCAGGAGGCTAAGGGAAGGCAGTGGGCTCCATGACACTCCCAAGTTGGGGACCTCCTCAAACCCAGGACCACAAGGATCCTGGGTGGCCTTTGACCATACGTCCCAAGAGACTGCGAAAACATGGGGCAATGGGAAGACATATTTTGGTTCAAAATAATCATAATCTTTTGGGAAAATATGTAGGTATATTAACATCTCAGAGTCTAGGATTACAAATGACAGTATCTACCTATCTGTGCGTGCGTGTGTGTGTGTGTGTGTGTGTGTGTGTGTATACACACACACATTTATACACATGTATGTACCGTGTACCTACATGTGTATCTAGCTACTTGTTTACATGGGCTGTTCTAAGGTTTTTGGTCCAAATGTATCTAAGAGCAAAATCATCTTTCTTAGGTCATCGAGTGAAAAAAAAAGATAGATTCGGTGCTTGTTTTTTACTAACCTAAAATCAACAAAATCTATGCAAACATGTTTCAAGACTGCATTGTGGTACATGTATGGGGGTCAGATCGAATCTGGGAATCCGACAGAGGTAGAAGAAAGAGCCCCAGAATCTCAGCTTTACCTGTCAGTGTGACCTGAGCTGTTCCCGTACCATTTTGGTTACTGGGATGGAGGAGGGGGTGTCTTCATTTTTACCCTGCCTTCCCCATGACATAGTTAGGTATAGCTGGAATTAGGTATAGCTGGAACACGCAAAGATAGAAAGGCCTTTGAAAGCCCTCTGGACCCAGTGTGTGTGTGTGTGTGTGTGTGTGTGTGTGTGTGTGTGTGGTTTGTTTTGATCAGAGGCTAACTTGTGAGAGTAGATTGGTTCTCTGTTTGCACCATGTAGGTCCTGAGACTGTACTCATCAGGCTTGGCAGAAAGCATCTTTACCCACTGAGCTATCTTGGTCCCCCTCCCTTGTGTGACTTTTAGAAGTGGGATGTTTTTCAGCAGGGTGCCAGCGCTAGCTAACAAGGCACTTACAGACCTCGGTCAGATGCTTGACCTCTGGGGCCTCCATCCCTGCATATACCCCAAAGAGCTCTGAGGAAGGTGTAAAGGGAAACACAGAAACAGCCAGCCTAGCATTTGTGTGCTGGTTGCACTGACCTGATAGTTTGCAAAACTCCTGCTTCAGCGTGAAGCCACCCAGAGCAAGGCAGGTGCCTTGTTCGATGCTGACCCCTAGTGGTGAAGGCTGTCAAGGCAGGAAGACGGGCTTCCCTGTATCTCCAGTGGATACTTCCTGCAGCCCTGAGAGATGAGTGGGAAAGACCTGTGTGCCCAGCTCACCACAGTCCCCGTGGACAGATAGATGAAGCACGTCTTAGGTGCTTTGAGCCCTGGTCTCAGCATCTTAGGGGTTCTCTGGTGTTCCCTGTTTTAAGAAATAGCTCCCCTAGCTTCTGCTCCCAACATACTGGTCCACAGCCTGCTTTTTGTAGCCAGAATTTCTCAGCTCCCCTCCTCCTCCCTGCAGCTTCAGACCCTCTGCTGCTGGAGGCCCTAGAGCACTGTCACAGGCAACATCTTCCTAGAGGAAGAGGGAGGATGCTTGACTGGGACTCTTGATGGCCCCACCTCCTTCAGTCATCCCTCTGTCTACACATCCTCTCCATCCCCTTTACCACCTGACAGACTTCAACACAGACAGGCTGTGCTGTGGACAGCCCCAGACCTTTCTGCCATGAGGTACAGGCTGACCCGAGGAGCCCTCTCTGAGACTGCAAGTCGCTGAGATTGCAGGCAACCGAGGGCAGCCCTGCCTGGCAGGAGCACACAGGGATTCTGGGAAGAAATCAAGACCCACAAGTGCAATAGGAAGTCGTGGGTGTGGCATGTACTCCAGGTCACACGAAAGGTTCCATAGCAGCAGGGGCCAATGCTAGCTCTATCTGGATTTTGGTCACGTGAGCGTATTCATCCCAACTTAGAAATTCCCGAGAGCCCAGTGCTCCGAGATCAGGATGCTCAAGGGAGGGTAGAGGCCAAGAAAAGAGAAGTAGGGAGAGGTCAGAGTTCAAGAGGCGCTCCCAGCATTGAGTCATGCGCAGTCAGAGAGATCAGTCGGAAATGTTGTGTCTGTTGCTGGTGGGAGATGGTCCACACAGCCCAAGTGAACGATCTTTCTCAGAGATTCCAAGTTCTGTGTAGGCAGAGTGAAAAACTCCCGTGCCTAAGGGGATCTCCCACTTGTCAGATAGTGATGCCCCACTCCACACAGAGGGCCCACCCCTCCTTATCCAGCCAGAGGTGAGGTCCTTCATCAGCCAGGGAAGAAACCGGGTAGGAATGGGAGGACACTATTCCCGTGCCTCTTCTTGTGTTCTCCCTGAAGGCTGCTTGTTTTGTGGGTTGATCTGGGTGGTCCTCTGCTTTCTGTGTATGTGTGTGGGATGCTTGGGAAAGGGAGGCTGTGATAGGCCCTTCCTCCTTCTGCTCTTCATTCAGCTTCCTCTGCCCTGCGGGAGCCTGGAGAGTTACCTAGACTAACCTGAGTATGCACGAGTCTGTCCAACGCGTTCTCCTTTTCTTAGCCAGCAATCTTTAAGATCCTGTCTGCTAAAATCCCACTTACCCTGGCGAGAGTACGGAGATAACTCATAGCTAAGCCGTCTCTGACCTGTGCCCTTCACAGAGGGACTCTCTCTGCCCTGAGCTAGCCCCACATGTAGCACCCAGACTTGTGGCAGTTCCCCTAATACAAGCCTGTCCCTTGAAGCCCAGGCGGTACCAGCCTTGCCTTCCACCAGCTCACTTTTCTGAACTAATTCTTTGTGCTGTGCTTTCTACATGGCGGCCCACGCTTTCAGCTGCCAACAGGGGGGCCTGGATAACTGTGCGTCTTGGGGTGCACCATGGTGGGGCTGTCCTGTGCATAATGGGGTGTTTAGGTGCTTTCCTGACAGTCTCAGGGCTGGCTTCTCTGCCCATGACCTCCACTCTTCCCAGACTCAGTCTGAGACCTGCATTTTACCAGGTTTACCCAAGGACACCCCCTACGCCACTTTCTCGGGCCCATCAGGATCCTGCCTGGGGTCAGGGGTGTCTCTGTTGATAAGGTGCTTGCACTCAAGCGTGAGGACTTGAGTTCGGTGTCTTAGAGCACATGTATCGTGGCAGGAAGCATGGCAGTGCGCAGACAGACAAGGTGCTGGACGAAAGCTCTGTATCTTGAACTATAGGCTGCCCAGAGGAGGCTCTGATTTCACCCTGGCCGGAGCCTGCACATAAGAAACCTCAAAGCCTGCCTACACAGTGACACACTTCCTCCAACGAGGCCACACCTCCTAATAGCGCCACTCCCTATGGCCGAGCATTCAAACACATGAGTCTATGGGGCCATACCTTTTCAAACCACCACAATGTGTTAAGAATTGGAGACAGAGGATCCCTGGGATTTGCTAGCCAACCAGTTTTAATCTCATGGGCAAGCTCCAGAGAGAGAGATCCTGTTTCAAAAAATGAGGTGTGTGGCTCTGGAGGAACAACACCGTTAACCTTGATCTGCACAAAGGAGTGTGTGTATACATGGGAGGGCATGCATACACACACACACACACAGAGAGAGAGAAAGAGAGAGAGAGAGAGAGAGAGAGAGAGAGAGAGAGAGAGAGAGAGAATGAGAGTGTCCTGGCTTGTCATTAGAGAACCCAGAAGTGATGGTGTACGCTTGGATTCCTTCTCCCCCATGTGTGGGTCTCACCTTACTCTTAGTGGGAACCCAAGGTGAGATCCTGGTGAGCGTGGGTGGGACCTGCAGCACCGGCCTGTGGCTTGCACCACTTGCTGGTGACTCACCGGTGCAGAAGTAGAATCCTTGGCTTTCTTGCCATGGTGGTAAGAGGTGCCAGGCAGCGTCATGAGAGGTCCCTCTGGTTACATTGTCTTCTTCTACCTCCTGCTCTTTCTCCAGGCCAAGCAGTCCTTAGCCACACTGACCAAGGATGTTCCCAAGAGGCATTCACTCGCCATGCCTGGCGAGACGGTGCTCAACGGTAACCAGGAATGGGTGGTGCAGGCTGACCTCCCACTGACGGCTGCCATCCGGCAGAGCCAACAGACACTCTACCACTCCCACCCTCCCCACCCTGCAGACCGGCAAGGTGAGTCCTGCCAGGCCTGGGCCAGCAGTAAGGGAGGAGTCACAGGAGGAGGGTGCTGGGCTCAGTGGGAAAAGCAGCTTCTTCGTTCACACCACAGCAGCCCGGGGCATCACAGGACAAACTGTGATGACTATTCTAACTGAACCTACTAAGAGATGGCCTTCAGGCACAGCTGGATCCAGAGGCTCAACTGTGCCCAAGACGTAAAACAGATGACCCTCATTGGTCACCTTGGGCCCCGTGGCCATCTCTGAACTAATCACAGTGTCTAGGAGAGCCAGTGCCATGATTGGTATCCTTTGGCAGGAGAGGGTACTGAGCTTGATTGACAGCTGTAGCCAGTCCGTTTGTTACATAGAAGGAGTGTAAGTGTTGTTTTCTCCAGATACTTAGCAGAGCTCCTGGCTCCATTCCCACCATCTCCGGTACACACTCCAATCCAGTCTCCTTGCCATTGCATTGTGCATCACTGATTTTGAGCCTGTGAGCCACCTGGCTCTAATGGGGGAGGGAGTCCTCTAGTGGTTCTCAACCTGTGGGTCACGACCCCTTTGGTAACCCCCCCCCCATCTCCAAAAATAACTTACATCTCAATTCATACCAGTAACAAAATTACAGTTCCGAAATAACAACGAAAATAACTTTATGGTTGGGGGTCCCGACAACACGAGGCACTGTATTAAAGGGTCGCAAGTGTTAGGAGGAGAACCACTGCGCTCGGGGCTGTAGTAAAACTGGCCCTCCGGGTGGATCTGGTTACTCAAGGCCTCGGACAATTACATAAGTCCTGTGCCCCTTATAGAAGGAGCACATAGGGTAAGGCAGATGAATCTTAGCAGGAAGGGCAAGGTACAGGTTCACACTGTTGAGGTCACATCCTGGCTCTGCCACGTAAAAGGATGTGACCTATGACCTGATACAAGGGTCATCTGTCCCTTTGGTACGAGAGATGCTGGATTCTTAATGTAGTGTTATGTGTCTGTTTGCTGAGACCTCCCTCCCAGGATTGTCAGAAAGGTAAAGTGTACAGAATTCCTTTGGTAAATATTAGCTGCCCCTCCCTGTCAGCACTGTCTTCACTGACAGGGTACACACAGGGCTTCAGAACCTCTACTGTAAACAGACTCGGAGCCCACCTGCAGTAAACAGAGACACCAGCCGCTCTTTGCTGACCCTTGCAGGGTCCAGCCAGCCTTTGTAGCCAGGACAGAGCTGAAGACCTCATAAAACTTAGTCCAACACACTCCTAGGCAGGGGTGCTGAGGCCTAGTAGTAGTTCTCACCTGCCACCTCTTGCTCAGTCCCAGGACCCAGGTATGATGCAGGTGGCTCCCCAGCCTCTGGTCCACCTGCAGGAAACAGAGGTGCTGTTGAAGGCGGGCAGTTTAAGAATTAATAGAATGGTAGGTGACTGCCAGTCACACACAGCCCACGACTGCAGATCCCCCGTCCTTGGTGGGTCTGACACTAAATTAGGGTTAGCCCAGGCTACAGAATCCACCATCTGGGCCCTTCCTCCTCTGCTGTCCTTGCTGCTCCTGCAGCTACCTCACCGCTTTTCATTAAACATGGCTTCTCAGAGAAGCTTCCAGGCCATCATTCTTCACACCCCACGCCACCCCCACTCCTCTGTGCTACTGTAACTAGGTATGTACATGCACGGGGTCACCCACCTCCACCCCATGGCATCCCTGGGAAGGCATCTGTCACATGGCTCCTCTCCCCTTTCTACTGCGCACACAGTAGGCACGTGCACACAGTAGGCACGTGTCTCCTCCCAGTGTCTCACTCTGTGGAGGAGCTGTCGCCAGCAGTGTTCTAGTCTACTTTATGTCACCGTGCCAAACGCCATGACAGAAGCAACCTGAAGCAGAGATCGTGGAGGAATTCTGCTTCCTGGCTTGCTCTGCTCTCCACAGTTTGCTCAGATGCTTTCACAGTGAGCTTTCACATCTGTCCTCAGTCAAGAAAATGCCCCTAACACTTCCCTACACGCTAATCTGAAGGAGGCAACTTCTCAGTCGAGGGTCCCTCTTCCCAAATGACTCCAGCTTGTGTCAAGTTGGCACAGAAAAACCAACCAGCACAGGCACCTCCACGGTTCAGATACTAGATAGCTAATGGTTCCAATAATAGATAATGAGCCAACAGCTCAGCAAGGGTGAACAGCGTGCCCAAGGCCACACAGCCTGTAAAAGAACTCCCCTAGATCAGAAGTGATACAGAGCCACCAACTAGCAGTTTCCCCACTGGGCCACGTGGTCATTGGTAGCAAAGTGCTGTCTGTCAGGAATGCTCGCAGGAGTGAGTGCAGAGGTATCAAATCTCCTTCTGTGCAATGCTGGCACTGGAACACGGGAGAGATCTGCAGCAGTGCCCAGTAGGCTTCTGGGCTGTGGCTTCTGGGATAGGCCTTTCATTCCAGCACTGTATATTAAGTTCCTACAAAGAGGGAGACACTGGAAGCCCAGAAGTGAACAAATGCATGTAAGGACCCCCATGGTGCACTCAGTGCCCGGCAGACGATGCATGTGTAAATAAAGTCTGGCAATAAGAAGGTAAGAAACTGGGCAGTCTACACTGTGATCGGCAGCTCTAAGGAAGCAAAGGCTGGAGGCTCCCCAGGGTTCACCAACAAGCCAGCACGACTACCTGAATCAGGGAGCTGCAAGTTCAGTTGGAAACAATGTTTCAAGCAAATAAGAAGGCTGGAGACGTGGCTCCGCGGTTAAAATCTATGGCTCTTCTTGCGGAGAGCCTGGTTTCCGTTCTCAGCACCCACGTGGAGGCTCACGACCTGTGACTCCAGTTCCAGGGGATCTGATGCCCTCTTCTGGCCTCCGCAGGGACTGCACACAAGCACACAAGCAAGCACAGACACATAAATAAAAGTTCATTTTAAAAGGTGAAGAGTGATGGGAGAACATAACTGTCGACCTTTGACCTCTACATGTGTGTACAGACGGCACAGGAAGCAGCGGAAGGCTGAGCCCTGGCTGATGCGGTGTACAGGCTAAAGCATGATAGGCTCCAGGGACCAGGAGGAGGGCTGTATTTTTTTACCCTCCCAGTGGCCAGAAGCCTGTGGCTCTGGGTTCATTGTAAGGAGTGGAGACAGGGAGGCCACCCTGGTCTTCACAGGGACAGATGGCAGTTGCCATGGGCTAGGAGAGTTGGTGGAGTTGGGACTGGGTTTTAGAGATGACATCAGGATGTTGAGAAAAGAAAGGCGCTTATGGTGACCTGGGGGTTCTTGTCTGGGACTCTGCTATTCCATTGTGCTTATGGTTGCATAGTGTCTAGAACCATTCGGATGACACTTCACTGACCCTCAACTCCCCCAAGTGAGGAGGAGATGAACTGGATCACAAGGAAGGGAGAGGGTCTCCCCACAGCCATCCCTAGAACAAGCAGGGCTATGGTACAGAAGGAAAGAGCTAGCCACTACACTCACCTTCCCTCCAACTCAGTATTTTGATCTATACAATGGGTGTACCAGGCAGCCATTTGTGTGTCACTAACCATCTGTACCTGTTTTCCAGCGGTCAGGGTGAGCCCCTGCCACTCAAGACAGCCCTCCGTCATCTCCGATGCTTCGGCTGCTGAAGGCGACCGGTCATCTACACCGAGCGACATCAACTCCCCAAGACACCGGACACACTCCCTCTGCAACGTAAGGCCAGCAGCAGCAGGGCCTGGGCACTTGGGCCCTGCCCAGAGATGGCGGGGCCATGGGGTGGGATAAAGATGTGCCCACTCTTTCCTCTCGTCCACCCAGGGAACGCTGTGGCGAAGGCATTTCCCGCTCTGTTCTTTCCTTTTGCGAGAAGCGGTGGACATGGGGAGAGAAAGAAATGAGGCCCGTTTCCTCCTGTGCCCGGGAGGGCAAGCAGGGTCTGCGCAGCCTGGAACCCCGCCCAGTGCACCCCGTCTTGGGCCCTGCCCGAGACCCTGGGCTTGACTTCAGAACAACCTGTCCCTATAGAATCCCACTCTCTTCCTTCCCCCTGAAATGAAACAGATTGGTGTAAAATAAATTTTGAGATTCTAGTCATTTGGGTCACGTTTGGCCTCTGCAGGGAGGTCCTGTGAATTTATCTGACATTTTAGTCAAACTTTTTTTTTAAATGACGCACTGAGCACCAGCAGCTAAGAGACATGAGTCCTCCAGGAGAGCTCTGAATGAGCTCACTGTATGTTTGCTATAACAAAATGGCTGAGGCTGGGAAACCGATAAAAGAAATGACTCCTCTCGGGCCCTACGTCATAAAGTTCCCATTGTGTCTCACATCACCACCCTAGGACTAGGCTTCCAATACAATAGACCTTTGGAGGGCACTCTCAAACCATAGCCAAGCCACCGCAGGCTCCCAAGCTGGTGGCCCAAACATCAGTGGATGGCTGAAAACCGTGTTTGCCTCCAACGGGTCAGAGGTGGGGACCACTTTGAAATATTGTCTCATCAACCTAGCTGATAACCTGAAGGGCCTTCCTGCCATGTCCTAGTGACAGAGATGCCACACAGAAGTGTCTTCAGGTACATAGGAAGGCCTTTTGTTTTTCCTTCTTTCTTTCTTATTTGTTTTTATTGTATGTGCATGAATGTTCTGCCTGCATGTGTATGTCAGCGCACTGTCTGTGTGCATGGTGCCCAGGGAGGCCAGAAGAGGGCATCAGGTTCCCCTGCAACTGGAGTTATAAGATGGTTGTGAGCCACCATCTGGGTGCTAGGGACTGAACCCAGGTCCTCTGCAAGAGTAGCAAGTGCTAACCACTAAGCCATCTCACCAGCCTGGGAACGCATTTTCAGAAACACAAGTTCATATTGTTCTATCAGCCAACAGAACGTATGAAAACTATTTCTTGCTGACTATAGTTATTTGCCTCAGACACTCAGGAGAAGGACATGCTATGTATGATAACCCATAATAAGCAAGTGCATAAGGTTATGAAAAACTTTCCCAGATACGCATGAGGGAAACCTTTTCCCCATCCACAGTGATCATGAAGAGTGCTTATTATCAAAGTAGCTACAATTACAAGGACTGGCGAAGCGCCTCAGTTGTTCAAGCGATTGCTGTGCAAGCAAGAAGAGCTAAGTCCAGTCCTCAGAATCCACATTAAATTGGATTCAGGCACAGTGGTGTGCACGTGTAACCCCAGCACTGAGAAGGTGGAGACAGAAGGGTCCTTGGGGGCTCTCTGTCCCGCCAGCCTTATTTAACCCGTGAGCTCAGGCCAGTGAAAGACCCTGTCTCAATAATGTTTCCTGAGAAATGATGCTGAATTTGGCCTCTGGGCTACACACACACACACACACTCCTTCACACACTCACCCACATGTGCACAGACACACACAAAATCTCTAAGAGGAAACCCAGCCTGCTTGGGCAGCCGTGGGATAACATCACAGCATCCGCGGCAAGGCTAGGATCCCTTCTTTTCTGTAGGCTGTGAAGAGGCAATGTGTCTTCTCTTCTCCATAGTCTAGGGGGTGAGGCTGACAGATGATAGAGAGCAAGGGAAACCCCTCCAGTGTCTCTGTCATCCGTTATTCAATTGAAAGGACTCTAGTGGACAGACGGCTGCCTACTCTTACCACACAGGTGGAGAGTCCCCGTCTTAGACCGACACCCTTTGACAGACAGGCTGACCATCTCCTGGTGACCCTAAGGCTCTCAGGGACAGGAATATCCTGACAGATCCACCCATAGGAGGACTCCCAGCCAGCAGAACTGCATTTGGTACGGGCCAGCCTCAGCCCATACTTGCTGCCAGAGGCAGCTTGTATATGTTTAGGAAAGATGCTATTGCAGAGGAGCTGTCTTGGCTATCTGCAGACTGAGTTCTGTTTGCAAACCTTGAGACCGAATGGCAGGCTGAACTGCCGTTTGTTAAATTTCTCCAAAACTATTTGTTGCCTATCTCAACAGGCGTGTGCATAGGTAAACTAAAGGGCCAGAAATGGCTCCAGGTGGCCCTCTGTCCTTGAGGATTTGACCTGGTACCAAAAAGGTCAACACAGACTGGAATAAAGGATACCTCACACGCTGGCCACTAATTAGAGCCAAAATGAGGACTCAATACAGGGACATTAGATGTCCTTGTAGACACCTTAGTCCAAGTGACTCTTGATTTCTTCCTAGGTATTGAGCTTGTAATTCCAGAAACAACCACCAGGAGTCTCCCTAGTAATGCCTTTTATAATTTCAACGGGCTGTTGGCTCCCAGGTAGAGCAGCTGTGATTTCGGGATATAATAAAAACTTTTACACATCCACAGGCTATTAAGGGGCTCCGTTCCTACCCACCTGGGATATAGTTGGTGACCCATGGAAATGTCCTACCTACCCACAGGCTATCTGGTGTTCCCCACAAAGGATTGGAAAGGGGCCCAGACTTGTGTGAATGGCAGTCCTAAGGCACAGGACTCAGTGTGCGCTTGCTGTGGAGCCCTGTCTAGAATAAAGCACAGAGCCAGGAGAAATCAGACCCCCACGAGTTTGAGTCCCAACTCTACTTGCTATTAGCTCTGTAAGAGATTGTCATTGGGCTCTTACTTACACTTAAATCCCACTAGCAGTTTCTGACGGCCCACAAAGTAGGTGTGTTGGTTTCGGGATAAGTTACTGACCATTTGGTCTGCTGAGTCCATTCTTTAATTTGGTTTTTTGTTTGTTTGTTTGTTTGTTTGTGTGTTTGTTTTATTTTGTTTTATTTTTTCTTTTCAATGCTGGCGAATAGAACTCAGGGCTTGGCTTGCCGCGTCCATCACCGATCTCAACTCCCTCCCTCTCCCCCTTAGAATACTTCCATTAAAGTGGATTGCTTTACTTAGGAAAACAGATACCTAGCAGAACTAACCTTCCGGTTGAACACATGAACCAATTAAGGCAGAAACTTAAGCCTCAAAGGATTAAGGGTTGAAAGGCCAGGAGGGAGAGCTCCTCGGGTCCCCTGATTGATGAGGCTCAGGCCCCATCAGTGAGCTGTGTGGAAGGCCAGAGGGACATTCCAGTTGGATCTCCACGTAGAGGCAGGGCAGCCCTGGAGGAGTTGGTGGCTTCCTTCCAGGGAAGACTCCCATCCTCACGGGCCACCTGTGCCCTCATGTGTCCTGTGTCTGCTGCTTCATCTTCTTCTCCTTTGGCTATAGGGCGACAGTCCCGGCCCAGTTCAGAAGAGCCTGCACAACCCTATTGTACAGGTGGGTATAGCTTCCCTGGGTGCCTGGATCCTCCCTCCACCCTCAACTTGACCTCTCCCAGCCTTGTTGCTCTGAACTGTCAATCATCCCAATGCCAATTTTGGACTGCTAAGACAGAAAGGAATAGAGCGCCCTCTCTGAGTCACACGTGCTCTGGCACCTGAGCCAGCCTCGGCATGCACTCTGTCTGACCTGTAAGCCCACTGTGCACGCCAAACATCCTGTATCCTGTAAGCCCACTGTGCACGCCACACATCCTGTATCCTGCTGCTGTGGCGAGCATCTTCCCCTTGCATCTAGGTCTCTGAATTATCATTGATTTCATTCTTCAAAGACGGAACCACAGGCAGTGGGCATTTCCAGCCCTGGCTGCTGGTAGGTCTGCCCCCATTTTTATGACCAGTATGAGAAAGGCACACAGGAGAACTTGAGGGCAGCATCTCTTGTGTTATGATGTTTCACATTTTCTGGCTGTGCACCATCCATCTGCATAGGGTTCACTTAGAAAAGACCCTCAGATGTGTGTGTGTGTGTGTGTGTGTGTGTGTATGTATATATGTATATATATATATATTCTTTAATAACTTAATTTTTGTTTCATGTGCATTGGTTTTTTGCATGCATGTTTGTCTGTGTGAAGGTATCAGATCTCCTGAAACCATAGTTACAGATAGTTGTGAGCTGCCATGTGGGTGCTGGGAATTGAACCTGGGTCCTCCAGACAAGCAGTCATTGCTCTTAACCACTGAGCCATCTCTCCAGCCCTAGACTACAGACATCTTGAATGCAGATTTCTGGGTCCTACGGAATGGGAATTCCAGCCTAGACTGGAGTCAGGGGCCATATTCCCAGACATTCTAAAGTGTTCTATGGGCCTCAAATCTATAGTTTATGCCCTACCCTTTCTGTAGATAGTACCAACCACATGTAAACACTTGGCCATTTGTAAAACTTCCTGCAGGTGCTACCCTACAGCTCCAGTTTCAAGGTCATTGTCAGGGTTCCTAGGCTGGCCCCATTCTGCACTGCTATGTACTAAGGCTCTGTAAACATCCCGTCCACCCTGCATCAGAGTGTTTGCGAGTAGTAGTCAGGGCTATGAGTATGCGCCTGTAGGCCCTTGACTGGTCCTGTAGGTCATCAAAGGGAACTTAAATGATAGTAAAACTGCAAGCCACTAGGGCAGCTCCGTGCCACCACATGGCTGTCAAGCCAGGATCTAGCCTAAGCATCTTTGCCTGACATCAGTGATTCGCTCAGGACAATCTTGAGTGGGTTCTGTTACTACCGATGAGAAGCTTTAAAACTAACTGAGGTTTGCTCAGAGGGGAAGGGACAGACTCCAGGACTCCAGCCCCAGAGCCCATCTTCTTACCTACATTCTCCATCCCTCACTGCGTTCCTGACCGTGACTTACGTATGCACAGCTGCCCTCCCCACCAGGCTAACTTCGCCTTTGTTCTTCTCCTTCGGCTTCAGTCACTAGAGGATCTTGAAGACCAAAAACGGAAAAAGAAGAAGGAGAAGATGGGATTTGGCTCCATCTCTCGAGTCTTCGCCAGAGGGAAGCAACGGAAGTCTCTCGACCCGGGCCTCTTTGATGGTACCGCCCCTGATTATTACATAGAGGAAGACGCGGACTGGTGATAACCCACCGCCCTTCGCCCATTGCCCACGGGCGTGTCTGTGTGCGGATGAGCCATGGAGCGTGCGAAAGTGTGTGTGCGCGTGTGTGTGGGGTTGCGGAGCCTCCGTGGGGTGTGTGTAGCCAAGCGCCTGGAACAGGCAGAAACACAAATGTGACCCCGCCCCCTCCGCGTCGTCACCTCTGTAATCGATGTACATACCGCAAACCGTGTGTGACTCTGTCAACCCTGTTGTCTCTGAGCGATACACTCGTTTGTTTTTCTCCTTTGTTTTGTTTTTCAACGTTTTGGGGGTTTTGTTTGTTCGTTATTTGTTTAATCCGTTGTGTTTTTGTTTTTAATTTGCCCCTTTCTCCTCCCTCCTCCTTTTTATGAAACTTGAACACTTGAAGGACTGCTGTGTATTTGTAAATAACAAACGTAGTGTGCACTTTGTGCTTGTAAAAGTCCCTGGTCCAGCCGCTACTCTTGCAACCCATGTCGCCAAGGACATGGTCTATTTTTCATGTCCCCTTCCTCCCGACCCTTCTTCAGTGTGAACGTGTGGGACCAGACCCTGTTCTCGGGGTGTGCCCGAGTCACTTTAACCACAAAAGCACCCAACCATCGTCGTCAGGGTAAGGTCACTCTGCAGAGACTTGTGAGCACATCCAAGACTTCTTGGCTGGGCTACAGTGTTTATAAGGGGGTCATATGGGCTCTTTTTAATGGCCTGCCTGTTTTTAAATTGTGTTGCTGTTTCTTTCTTTATGGAACAAAAAGAGAGAAAGAAAACTGTCGCATTTAATTTATTTGCACAAATGCAGAAAACGTATTCTATCTAAATTATTACGTAAATATTGGAATGTATATTTTTCCACGGGGTGGGCGGGAGGCGGGCGTTTCTGCTGACTTGTCTATTCTGTGTTCATGCCGCTGCAGACACTGTGCAAGGTAGAATTCAGGTGGCTCGAGCTGGGGACCTCAGATGACCAGCTTGCTTATTCTTATTTCTCTTTTCTGTCTCTCTCCCCGCTGCTGTCCCTGCATGAGAGGACTCCCACCTTCTGCTCTGGCCTTTCTCTCTATATATATTCTCTCTTTATTACATATTTATTTATCTGACATACAGATTGTGACTTCAGTGAACAGAGCACTAACAGTCACATTGTCCTTCTCTTGGGCCTGTCTTTGGAGTCATGTTGATTGAGTCCAGGGAGGGAGAGCCTGGGGCACATCCACGGGGTCTAACCGGACATCTGGGCTTGAGTCAGTGGGTAAGAAGCCTCCGGTGGCACACACAATGCCTCGCCATCCTTAGTTATTCAGAACACAGGCTAGGCCAGTGTCAACAAAGAAAGGATGCCCACCTTTCTGGGAAGGGCTGTTGGGGACAGTATCTAGCTTGCGATCCCTCTGCCATCTTTTGTCCGGTTGGCTTCTTTGGCCACGTGTGGACTTTCCCATGATCCCCGAGCTTTGTCCTTTGATTAAATCAACAGCTCAATCAGACTAATCCCAAGAGTGCTGGCAGGTGCCTGTGCCTGTTTGTGGGGCCAGCAGTGTCCCCCATGGGGCCTGACCAGGCATGGAGAACCCATTCCAGCCAGTACTACCCTACTCCCACCCGGAACTCAGTTTCCTCTTTCTCACCCTCCCTTTTAACTGATCTTAAACCACTAACGACTCAGCCCACACCCCTCGTGGCCACTGCGGTGCTCCCACTAACGCTAATGGAAACATTCTCCACTCCTGAAAGGAGATTTTTCAAAGCTAGATGGATCATCTGGAATATATAGGATCTCGTGTCCAAAGTCTCTAAAAACAAAGCCAAAAAGCCCCCACCAGGTCACCTCTTCCCTCCCAACCTGGCCCCAGAGACAAGAGAGAGCAGGCAGGGACATCTAATGAGCCTCCCTGTGTACACAACCCTTTCAGCTCAGCTGATCAACCCAGCCTGGTGGTGAGGGAGAGAGGCCAGAGCTGGCATCAGAGGGGGGGGGTCTTAGAAAACACTACCCCCCCACTGAATTTTTGGGTTTTATTTTATTTTGTTTTTAGGGTTCCCCACCTCCTCCCCCACCACCACCTTCCTTTTACTTACAAGAAAATAAGATCGCAACCTCTCCTGGTAATGACTTAGTCATTCTTTTTCATTTCAGTTTTTTTTTTTAATTAGGAGATCATCCTATGAGTTACAAAGGATGATTTTATTTGAGAGAACCACATCAACTAGGGACTGAGTTATGGGTAACTCTAGATGAAAATGACCTTTTCCCATGGGGGAGGTTTCTCGAAGGCATGGATGCAAAATATAAAATATTAAAAAAAAGTCTAAATAAAGCTTATTTTAAAATATGATGGAATTCTATGTGATTTGATTGCTTCTCCGTTGCTCCAAGGGGGAGCCATGTCCCACCAGTGTCCCACCAGGAGACACGCCTTGCATGACCACCACACTATGAATTCCTAGGCTGGGTGACGGGAAGGACTGGGGAAAGCTGACTGGAAGCTGGTTGGATGCTAAGTCCCCTGGAGGAGGCCAAGCCAGGTGGACTCCCAGAACATCTTACCTGGGTCACCTCTCCTAATTTGGAGGCGCAGTCGGCACTGGAGCTGCCCACATTGTAATGCAGCACCTCCCAGCTCAGGATCTCCCACTTCCTGGAGCTCAGAGCACCCTCCCCCCTCAGCTTTCATGGCCTCCTTTCCCTCCCCTCACACTGTCCAGAGGTCAGAGCTGTCTGTGGCTGTGATTTTCCTCAGGCCTCAACAGACCTCAGTGTCCCGAGTCCTCAGGCAGGCAGTGGTTTAAAAGAGATATCAGGGTCCAGGGCAGAACAGACAGGGCTTTTTTCTCAGTTTCACAAGATTCCCTCCCCCGAAAGAGGGAGCAAAACTCTGGTTTCCTCATATGCCCTAAGAAGAGCCAATCTAGGAAACCTCACATCCTGGTTGAGGCCAGTGGCCTCAGTTTCCGTTTTGAGCCCAGAAAGGAGACTCGTAGGAGAATGTATTTGAATGCCTTTTCTAGCTCTGTGGCAGACAGCATTGACAAAGACACATCGTGCTCCAAGATCAATGGAGTGTCAGGGGCAGGGATGGTAGGGACGATAAGGGATTTTGACCATCGGAGTTCTCAATGGCCGTGCCTTTAGAGGGGAAACTGCCAATGTCAGCACTCCGTAGAATCAAAGGCTTTTATCTCTCCAGCGACTGTAGCCAGCAGCCAGGATTGAGAATCTACCGCAAGGCGGGCATGTTCGTACCCGAGACGCTGTAGTCTGTGCCTGGCCTCATGCAGACATGACTAATCAATCAGATTCCTCCCTACCCATCCAAGAGTAGCCTCAGACCTCTTGTTTTCCAAAGCCTCAAGTATTTGTCAGACTTGCAAGGATGAAGTTTGTTTGCTAGTCCAGAATTAGCCTGGCCTCTCCACACTGGTTTAAAAAAAAAATTTTAAAACATGGGAAAGATTCATGCTCAGAAAAGCATGATTTGGTCAAAGTTCAAGGTGGTCCTTGTATAGCTCTACCACTTAAGAGTTGGGTCACACTGACTCAAAAGTTCCCCCCACTGCCTTTGTGCTTTTCTCTTGTCAACAGCAGTGCTAGAGTGGTGGTGGGGGTAAAACCCAGAGCTTTGTTCACTCTAGGGAAACACCCAACCACTGAGCTACACTGCCCCACCAGCACCTCCTTAATGAAAGAATACCCTCCAAATGGCACCTATTAGTCTGACACTGGAGTGGAGTCACCCAGAGCATCCAAAGCCAGTGTTCCTGCTGTGCAGGTTGTATGCTGTTCCTTAGGAAGGTACTGAGGTCCTGGGCTAACAGGTGACTGATACCCTTGGCTTGTGCAGTACTCAACCTCCAGGGTCATCCTCAGTAGCCTTTCTGCATGCTTTCCCGATCATACTACCAGGCTCCGACCCGTGTAACAAGTAACAGTAGCAGCAATAATATCTAACATTCATTACGTATTTGCCATGGGCCAGGCTCCATGCTGTGTGCTCACCACATATTAACTCGTTAACCCACAGCCTGTGTTACCCATGAGGAATCTGAGGCTAAGTCACATCTGTGAGTGTGGGGATTGTAGGTGTGCACTGCTATGCCTGAATTCGTCAGTGCTGGGCATGGAACCCAGGGCTTTGAGCCAGGGAAGTCTGGCTGAACTGGGAGGGTTCTATAGGTATGCCTGCCCGCTGAGGTGCCTTCCTGCTCAGAGGACCTGGCTTGAAGACCCCACCCCACTCGCTCACACAATGCCTTCTGACCCAGCCTGGTACTACGTTACTGTTAGAACGTAGTCTTCCCGTCAGCTTTATTTCGTGCTCCCAAAAGTCCTACCCCCTACACAGTAGATTCAGGCTGGGGTCCAGAGCAAGCTCAGCGTCCTTCCTCCTGACCAGAAGGGCACCAGTATCACCTGCCTTTGTCCTGTTGGCCAAGCCCAATCCTGTCGTACCTGAGCTACGGACTTGAGAGCCAGCTCCTCTCCAGCAGGGCAAGCCATATGGTACCCCAACACTGATGGATGCATCAGCAAGTGGCCCAGGGCTGCCCCCCTCAACACTGTGGCACTAGCCCACTGTTGTTAGCTTTATCTGTGCTCTGGGAACCCAGGCGAGGGCTGGCTGCACTGTAAAATCTTAGCCTTTGGAAATAGAAGGCCGTGTGGGAGACTCACGTGTGTTAGACATGTGCTGTGCCACCAAATATCATTACCCAGGACTCTTTGTTGTTGTTTTTGTTTTTGTTGTTTTTTTTGGGGGGGGTATTGAGACAGGACTCAGTATGTTGTCTAGGCTGGTCTTATATTTGAAATTCTCCTGCCTCAAACTTTCGGGTAGCTGGCATCATAAACAGACACCATCAGGTCTGGCTTTCAAACAATATGTTTTTTGAACACCTTAAACGTACATTTTAACTAGAGAGACGTCACAGAGCCTCCCTGTTACCCCACATCCC